CATAGACAAACAGCAACGCAGTTCTTTTAATTCAATGCAGTTCATTCATTCATTTAACGCCAATTCACAACAAATGTTGTCTTGAGACATTTGACAAATAAAAAGTTATTTCTAGTCAGTCACACACACATGCCAAGTTATCAAACGGCGCGTTGAGCTCAGTTTTCTATTCAAATTCTTTGTGAACCTTTGCATGTTCTGATCATAAAGGACACTCTAATCTGGAGAGTTAAATCTGAAAAGAGTCATCCTTTCACATGACGAATGTGGAGGAGCACACGTTTCTGATGCGTTCCTGTGGATATAATCGCCACGTCATCTACAAATCTTTTTGTTTTTGAAAGCATCTTTTAAAATCTTTGCCGTGTTCTGAGAGACTACATCTAAGCGTGAGAATGCCGTTGAACATGAGCCGAAGAAGTCTAAATATTAAAACGGCGTAGAGCTGGTAGTCCTACCTTGCCTGTGAAATGAGAGGCTGAATCATCATTAGCAGACTTACGGAGGCTGTTTGATAGTGTACTGGGTCCTCTGAGCATTGGGGGCTTTGTTGAGCTAAGCTCTCACCAGATTGTGTTTTCTTTCTTTCCATTCCAGACTCTGTTCTCTCTTGTTCCTCCTTTCATGAAGCCAAGTGCTGTGATAGTACAATGATCTTCTTTGGTAGGGAAGCAAAGCACACAGAGACGACTACAGGGTTAGCCTGCGTGGGATCGGAACTGATTGATTTCCCACAAAGATGGCCTTAATTTGCGTTAATACGTTTGTTTGCATGTTGTTTTCGCACAGGGCTGGCTCTGAAGTCGCATAAACGCCTCGATCGTCTTGAAATATGCTCAGAATAAAGCGTGCTGAGCGTCAGACTGCAGTGCCTGCTCAGGTCTGAGGCAGCTGATCGTCTCTGATGGGACTGTAATTTGCTGACCTACATCTGCTGACAAGCCCAGATCCCAAACCCTTGCAGCGGGCCGTCCCCACCCGTGTCTGCTCAAGTGATGACTCTCTCCTGACTTGTTAGCTGCCACATATAAAATCAGTTTTATTTCTGGTGTTCTTTCGCCAAGGGATCGAGAATTCATCCCTGTCTGTCGCTTCAGGCTGCTGGCTCTTTCCCCTGCCTTACTCTATCAGAATATATAGGATTTTTGACTTTGAACAACAGGAAAATGGTGTTTGATTTAAAGCTGCAGCATGTAACTTTTATAAAATATATATAATTCACCCCTTTGCATGCTTTTACACCAGTACAGACCAACCATCTTGCTGCCTTCAAACCATTTATGCATAGCTGTGGCTTGTTGCTTTGGGTTGTTGTTGTGCTGGGAAGTGCATGTCTTGTGTAGACGCAGTTTTTTTGAAGTTTGAAACCTGGTATGGAGAGTTTTCCATTTCAGCTGCTGCAACTCCTTCAGCGTAATCACACTTGTCCTGGTGGCCTCTCTCACTAATCTCCTTCTGGCAGGGTCACTAAATTTGTGAGAACGGCCTGATCTGGCACCGTCACCGGTAACAGTGCGACTGGAGACACTAGTCGTCAGTGGAGTTACTAATGGAGGCACTAAAACTAAGAGCTGGAAAATATTTTTTTAACCGCATGGTGCTTTTGTAACGTTCACAGTGACTTTCTGGTGTCAGCTTTAAGAGACATTTTCATTGAATTATAAGCGATTGATTATTAAATGATCAGATCACTAAACAAAACCAGCAAGAGACAACCTGACTTAAACAAACAACAAACTTCTGTTTTTTAATGGTGGTCTCGTTTTTTTGTTTTGCTTTTTTTTTGTTCCTCTAACCCTAAAGATCAGCTGAGGCACCCTTGGCAGCAAAGAGATGTTTGAGATGATTATGCTGCAACAAACAGTAATAAATGTAACAGGGCTTATCATTAAAGTTGTAATGTCAAATTGGCACAGTGTGACACGCTGAAGTCCAGCAAGATTTAGAAAGATTGCTGCAGTGTGTCAAGCTGCGATCTTTTCTAGACTAACAGAAGCCCCCCAAAAAATGTTTTTCTTTTGCTCTTCAATTTCATTAGAACTGGACATGATGTGTTGTTTTCTGTAGTCGTTAAGCCTACTTGTTGGAAGGTGAGTTATACTTACAGGATTCTTTTTATCCTAAGGACGGTTCGTGGAATTCAACCAGAAATTGTGGTAAATCTCAGTTGGTGCCTCATTCGAATAGACGAGGCAGAGAAATTTGAAAGAAATTAAATCGTAGAGATGCATTTTGTACATTTACTTAGGTTATTGTTGTCTGTCAAGAAAATCTGATTGCTGATCTAATATCCATGAAACCTTTGAACAGAAATATTAGCTGCACCAGTGCTTTTTTAAAGAAGTAAATATAGACAGCAGAATTATCCCTCTATTAAAGTGTTTGTAATGATTTGGCAGGTTCTGTACCTGGAGCAAAACGGGCCAAAGAAATGAGACGTAACTGACTCTAAAAAGTTCAAAAATTGTACAAGTTATTTAGAGGACACAGCACGACATTTGGAGGTCATCACAGAGTCATCGGACGTGTTGTTGCCACTCGCCAACAGAGTTGCACAAAACTTGTTGAGAACAAAAAGATACAAACGAGCAACCCAAGAGCTGAGCAGAATCTAACACCACTCTATGAGGAACCCGTTCTCCTCCAGGGCCGTCGCATCCCAGAACTGCAACCTATGGCTGGAGTTGATGAGGTGTCCAGTTCTCACGGACAAGTTCGAGGCAGGGAGGCCCGCAAACATGGCGACCACTGAACAAGACACATAAGTTGAAATGTGAAAACTGGGCCAAGAAATATCTGACGACTGGTTTTATGGACTGGTGAAATCACTCTGGGCAGACCTGATTGATGGACCTGTGGCTGGATCAGTAGCAGGCGAGATACTTTGGCTCACACAGCGTTTGAAAGTGCAACATTTTTGACCGTCTCTGCAATCCTAGCTGTTTTGAGAAGTTTTAAAGACAATGCACTGGCTTCTTTCTCATCTGCGGTTAAATAAACGTGGGGCGAATCAAGCTTATCCTGCAGATTTTTATGTTAGCTTTAAATTGGCAAACTTTTTGAACGTAAAATATTTTTAGTGGTTGCTCCAGTAATGTTGCTCTTTTTATTTATTTATTTTATTTTTTTTATTTCAAAGCACTTTCCAGAACCAAAAGGTCCAATTCTTGCCAAAATCCCATGCAGTCTATTTCCGTTTCAGTTCATTTGATTGAGTCCAACTTTGAAGATCACAAATCTGTTCTTGCTTGCTTTTCCTTTGTTTTCCATCTAAAGCAATGAATACATGCATATTTTCAGTTAAATAAAGGCGACTTGTGCCACAAAAATCTTTAAAAATACATATTTGTAACTATAATAAAGCACATTTAGCTTAAACTTACATGTTTTTTCTTATTCCAGTTTTTTTTTTTTTTCAACCACAATTGCATATGATTCATCTACAAATCTATATGGCCCCTCATGTTGTCACAGTGAAGCACCTACAAGCACTAATAAGCTATCAAGATAAAATGTTTCATTCTGACTTTTGGTCTGAAATCATGATTGCCAAGTAACCTTTCTGATTAGTGTAATTAGGTCTCTATCTGGTCACAGTGTATAACAACAGTGGCTCTTAGCAGGGAAACATTGAGAGGCAGCAGGAGAGAGCAGTGCAGTAGAGCAGAACAGAATGCAGTTTGAGCAGCTTTGTGCTTGTGCAGCAGAATGCAGCTCATACCTGTCACACTTTTTTTCTTTCCTTTTTGTTCGTGCATTATTGTCTTTTGTCTTTATAGAGCCCTTTTTTTCTCACAGTGGTCCACAGAAGGCGTATATGCCTCTGCGTAAATCTGCCCGAATCAGTTTCGGCGGGAGCATATTTTGTTTTCCAATTACCTGCCGACAGAACTCTGGGCAAACCACCGTGACCAATTTACCGACTCCGTATTCGAGCAATATATTTTCAAGGCAAACAGCTTATCATCTCCTGCATTTGTAATTCTACGTATTGTACAGGGCTGTGTACGTTCACCCACTGCAGCAATGCAGAACCTTACGACGCTGTGTTTGTGGCTGGCAAATTTTTTAAGCAGTCACACACATGAAAAAGATGCATGTTGTGCACATCAAAACTTGGGCTTTTGACACGAGTTAAATATAAGTTGTGTTCTTGTTTTTTTTTTTCCTAATTCATTCTTGAAGCAATTGCAAAGGAGGGCAGGAAGTTAATGGAATCCAGTATGATGAACACATAGCAGCTGGCATCAACAGCAAAAATGTAATTGCTAAAATTTGCTGTACAGGTAAATGTCTCAGCTAAATGCAAAGGACCCCTTATATGTGTAATTTGTTGCAAAAAGCAGTTTTTTTATTTTTTCATGGGCTGCTGGAAAATAGGACCGACACTAATAAACTACTATGCATACAAAATATGTATGCAAGGTAGCTTTAGAAAATGTTATTTTCTAAAGCTACCTTGCAGAAAGCCGCTTCTCGGCAGTGGCAATGAATAAATAGCCGTCTGGGGAAAAAATTTGAAATAAATAACATAAAGCGATGTAGGATTTACACATCGCTTGATTGAGTCCGACTTTAGAGAAAATGGTATGTATGTAAGAAAACAGTACATTTCCATACGTTTTGTAGAATGCTAAATATTCGTCATACTGAGGAGAATTTGGTCATGTATTTTTATCGCAAAATATGTTAGGTGCGACCTCTGCTGAAATTTTAATTGTTGTGATATCAGTCAGACTTAACGGTTTTTAAAATAATGAAAAGGTTTCCCACCAACTCAGATCCACTCAAGGCTCTACGATCGTATTTCCATAGGCATCGATTGACCTATTGAGGAACAGTAGATCCTTCATATTTTCAACGATCATTAGAGTCACTTTTGAGGCACATATATACCAATGTTGTGGTGGGTTTGTGAGCTGTGGGTCTCTGTCCGTACGAAAAGCTGTTATAATCGCTGTATTAACCTGTATTTTCACGTCTTTCCACTCTTTCCTTAGAATAACAACTACTGCTGCCTGCATGATGGACTTGAGGAGATACCCTCTGGATGAACAGAACTGCACTCTGGAAATTGAAAGCTGTAAGTCCTGCAAATAAATCCACATCATGATGAATATTCAGTCACTCTGACCGAATTGATTTCTGCTTTCATTAACCCTTGAAAGTGCACGCCGCGATTAGTTACCGGTTGATGAATACCTTGAAGTCATTCTCAGTTTCAGAGTATCAGGGCATCAGTGTTAGGTCACATATGTGGAAAAAATTTAAAGAAGGGCTTGCTATGGCTGCTATTTACAAATGTGCAAAACTTTGATCATTAATAGCAACTGATGCTACGCATCTTTGAGTTTCTGGAAAGACGTAATCGTTCCAAATTGACTTTCCTGGTCATTTTTGAGCAATATGTGTTTTTCTACTATTTAATAAAATGAAAAAATGCTACTGTATTCAGGCAACGTAACTTTTTTGACATTGTCATGTTATAAACATGAGCTCAAATGTGCTTGATGTGATCCAACACAAAGTAGTGGAGGATTATTATGCACAAAGAAAAGACATGGTAAGAGTCTCATTAACGCTGAGCTTCTGTGATACTTTTGAGTGAACTTATTTTAGAGCTGTGCTGAGCTAATTTTTGCACAGCAAATACAGTTTCGCATACATCCTGCTTCAACTGTAGCCATATCCTCCTGCATGGCTTGTGTCTAACTGGAAACCAAATTTCTTACTTTTTTCCAACCATTTTCTTTCTTTTTGCTAACTTTTCATAAAGGCCAAATTTGTGGCTCTAATAATTGTAGTTTACAGATTTTCCATTGCTTGACTCTTGATCTCTGCATATCCTCCATAGTTAACTTTTGGTTGCGCTGCTTTACAAAAATGACACCAAAATGCAAAGCATTGTATGAGTAAAAATTTTGCCTTCATTTTCGCTTAACTTATCGTTGAATTTCCCAAACAGTGATCATGAATTAATTTTCACTCGAAAGAAACACAGCCAAGAGTTTCTGTAAAGACACCTGGTGTCCTGCACAAAAGAAAACCACAAACAAATCATGCCTCCAGACACTTTCGGGATAAGTTGGACAAATCATTATTCTGAAGAAGAAAAAGCTTGCCGTGTAATTGAAAATTGCATTTGTGTGATCATTTTCACTGATCACGTCATCAGTCACGCAGATCCTGCTCAATACATCTTTTTTTTTTTTTTTTTATTGGTACAGAATAAGAACTGCAGAGTGTTACCTCCAGGGCGCTGGAGTAAGCAATGAAATATGGACAGGCCATGAATTAAAAAGTTGCAAGAATATCTGCTGTTTATGCTCATGGAGTGCTTTGCACTATTGACTCAGGCGCATTAACCATCAGTTTGATGGATTAGGCAGTCAGTTGCTTCAATTTCATGGACAATGTCACATTTTCTTACCCTATAACCTCTCGGAGAGATTTAATGGTAATGAATCCTGGTCCTGTAGTAAGTTTAATACCATCCAGGTCCGTATGTAGGACTGCGGAATGTGAAATGTGGTAACACTTACCCCGATTGAGAAATAGCTCTGCAGTAAGTGCAGGCTAGCCTATTCCAATAAATCTGCCCCTGTAGTCACTTTCAATTGCTTTTCCAGGAAGAAATGTGTGGCAGCGTCATTGCATGTGACACATGTTAATGAATATTCATGCTAGTCGTAATACATGCGGTGATATAGCTTCATGAGAGTCTGGAGAGAGCGCAGCACGAAATTGTTGGCTGACAGATTTAGGTCTGAGCTTGACATGCTCTAGAAACGTGTTTGTGTCGGAGGGTCCATATTTCCCCTGAAGCCAACTTTCCGACACCTATGAACATTTTATACAAAAAATATGCGACAGTTACTCTGATAATGATGTGACATAATATTTAGACATTATTAAATGTATGGTGTAGATGAAACAATAATTCTACTCCAATTTTTTTGGAAACTGCAGTAGCAGATTTTTTGTGATACTTTTGTATAACAACCCCGATGGAGTCACTTTTGTACAACTCTATTGTGTTTCACTTGCGTGGAGCTGGGTCAGAGGTGAATCAGCTAAAGTAGTCACACGCAGACTTACTTCCGAGCTGCCTCTTCCAGATTAGCTAAAAAGACTCCAAGGCATTGCCAAGCCAGTCATGAAATATACTTCAGCAAGTCCTGGATCTGTCCTGGGGGTCTGATCCAGGTGGCATATGGCCAAGAACGTCCATAAAAGGCACTGCAACAAAACATCTCCACTCACGTCTGTTGATGTATAGGAATGGTGACTGTACCCTGAGTTTTTCTTAAATAGCCATAAAACCTTGTTCCCGAGGGTAAGCCAGAACCTCTTATGAGGTGGCTTGCTTGTTATACAAAGTTTATAACCAAAGACGAATGTTGGACTGTAGATGAAAAGGGTGACCTTTTATTACTATGAGAGACTGACACAACTGCTACACAGCATAGTAGTTGCCTCATCTGTTTTTTATGTCGACTTTATTTTGACCCTGATGTACTTGCTTTCATCCTCTGACATGACAGCAGGACATTTTCAAAGTGCTGACTACTCTAAAGCCTTCTGAAGGTTCACTTTAGATATGATAAACAGGAACATGTCATCTGCATATAATAGAATTCTGATCAAATTAGAGTGACACAATTAGCATAATATTGGCAACAATGGACAAGACAGTCTAAGGCAATTTAAGAGAGATGGTGTTGATGAAGACATCTGTGTCACCGTAGTGCTGAGAAACTGCCCCGCCTTGGACGTGCATGGGATTCCAGTCTGTATCTTAAACTGAGATCACTTATCGTCACTTTTTTAAAGTTTTGCCCTGTTAAAGTTCTTTGATGAGCGTACAGTGTTGTACAAAACCACTAATGCGAAGACCAGAAAACTGTAACCATAGAAAAACCAGTGGGGTACCAATGTCTGATGCAATCAAGATAGTGAGTTATGCCTACGAATAGAGGCTCTCCATTCAGACACTGCCGCATCTTCATCAAAAAAGTAATGTCTTCCGTCTTCTTTCTCTTCCAATTTGCTCTGACTGTGACACAGATGGATATACAACAGATGACATCGTATTTTTTTGGGAAGGAGATGACAAAGCTGTGACCGGGGTTAAAGAGTTAGAATTACCTCAGTTCTCCATTGTGGACGTCCGCCTGGTGTCCAGGGAGGTCAGGTTTACTACAGGTAAGATATTATTTGACTTTCTGTCCGAGTACCTCCAAAAATGCAGTGTAGCAGTCCATAAACAACTGTTTTATAGGTACAGTATACAATGCAGTGAGTTCTGGCAGCACTAGCAATACACGACTTAAAACTCTGTGCTTTTAATTGGCATAAGGAGTGTTGGTTTTACTGCAGTTTCCCCAGATTCACTCACTGTGTATATACCCCATATTGCTCCAGTGTAAAGGCGTGAGCAGCAATCGTCCAATTTTAAAATGCTCATTTGGTAATGTTTAGAGGACAGAGAAAGTATAAAAAAAAGCAGAAGCAGCTCGCTGTGACAATTCTCACAGGGACGCTGAAGCTGCCTGCTGAGATAGGGGCTTGCAGAAAAATGTGCCGTGTTTGCGACTTTCTGCCATGTTTAATTGGAATCGAACTTGTCCCTGGAAAGGAATCTATCGCTTTGGGGAAATTAAGTGCTCCATCTGAACAAATGGAGAAATGACTGCCCTGTGCGTTGTCAAAGTGCAGACTTTGGAACTCTTGACTTGTGTCGACGTTTCCCCCCTGCTTCTTCCTTTGGTTTTCGTTTTCCTTTTGCCCTTAACTTCACTCCGTTGTATCTCCATACAGGTTCATATCCAAGGCTCTCATTGAGTTTCAGGATTAAGAGGAACATAGGCTATTTCATCTTGCAGACGTATATGCCCTCCATCTTGATCACCATCCTTTCCTGGGTCTCCTTCTGGATCAATTATGATGCCTCTGCAGCTCGCGTGGCCCTCGGTAAGACACCGCCGCCGCTACGTTATTAAACTTCTTACTACTCCCGTAAGAATCCACTAATTATCAAAGAAACGAATAACACACAGCTGTCACACATGTGCAAATGTTGCAGCACAAATCTTCTACATTCATGGGCACGAAATTAGCAAGCAAACATGTAGCCGCGGGTTGCAAGCGACTCCCGTTAATTTCATTTTGCCATGATTCTCATTTTGAATTTCCCCTGCCTCTGTTTGATGTTGCCACAAATTGGCTTGTGTTGTGGGGGTAAAAAAAGAAAAAAAAGAAAATAGGAACAGCAGGGATACAGTGTAATCCACACTAATATTGTACATAATGTGGACTGATTAATAGCCCTGAAAGGGACTACACCCAGTGAGGCTGGCACTACTGCTATTAGTGATTTCATATCTAATTGTCCAAATGTATAATGGTGTCTCCAGTTTCCACTATTAATATTAAAAACTGCTAACATTTTAATCTGTCATTTGTCAGAAGCAAAAGCTTGAAAGACTCCCGCATGTTTAATTTATTGCTGATTCTGGCAAAGCAAAACAATACAGAGCTACATCTTGTCGCCTCTTCACTCAACTAGAGGTAAAAAGAAACATTAAAGGGGAAAAAAAAAGCTATGAGAGACATTTGGATAAAATCAAGGTAGTATGTTGTTTACTTATTGTAACAGTGGCTTATCCGTGCACTGAAGCTTATAGTTACCATCTCTACATTATGTTTGGGGAAAAAAAGACTTTTTAAACCTTCATAATTATAAAATCTTGGAAACGAGAAATGTTTGGTTTGAGACAATAAATCATTTTCATAAGCATTCTTTACAAATGTGTTCATTTTTATGTTTCAAGCCTACAATGTGAAGCATAGCGTTTAATTGTGATTCATTTGATGACATTTTTCAGTCAATTGACAGCACTATTCTAATTAAATAAATAAATAAAAAGCAGATGATAAAGTAAAGAATGAAGACTTTTCCCTGGGATATTATTGTATTTACTTGTTGTCTATATAATGTAATATATTTTGTCATTACTATTGTTTTAATTTTTATACTCTTGTCTTTCTGAAGTATTTTGTGAGGTCTTAATAGTTTGGGAAAGTTCTTGTTAAAAATGTCAATAGACCTTCTCTGGACAGAATGGGTCCATTTAGACAAATATCTAAACGCACAAGAAATATGGCGGGACAACAAACTCTGAGATATGTCTAACAAAGGTTCCTTGGTGTCTCTCTCTCTCTGTGTGACATAAGGTGTGACAACGGTGCTTACCATGACCACGATTAACACCCACCTTAGGGAGACCCTCCCAAAGATTCCTTACGTGAAAGCCATCGACGTCTACCTCATGGGCTGTTTTGTGTTCGTGTTCCTGGCCCTGCTTGAATATGCCTTTGTAAATTATGTGTTCTTTGGCCGGGGCCCTGCGCAGCAGAAGAAAATCAATGAGAGGCTGGGCAAAGTCAACAACGAGCGTACGAGATACGAAGAGAAGCGCCTGAGGGAACAGGTTTGCGCCTTCCTTCTTTTCCGACTCTCTCCTTCGCTTTATTCCCTCGCCTCTTCCGCGTCGGTCAGAGTTCAAGTAGAAAACAAGGCTTTTCCACGCAAAAAATCTTTCTGGCCATAGTCGTTTTACGGGAAGCCACTCGTACAGTACGCAAGACCCCGAAGCAATCCTCCACATGCACACCGATGTCACCACAGCCTAATATGCATTCACCCACCATCATCCATTGCTTCTCCCTCAAGCACTGACTGCTTTTTATTGAGCACAAACATTCTCATTGAGATACCTATTCATCTAACTCAACGGTGGTGTAAACATTCTCATTTCTTATTTAGATTGTTGTCTATGTTGATCCTATGGGCTTTATTCCCTCTCACTCTGCTACCTTGTATTTAAAGACGTTTAAAAACAAATTGGCGGGGGGTGAAAAGCATGACAACACAAAGGTGGCGTCAGCCGCTACCTTTGTTTTAGCAACTCCCCAAGCCAGCTGCGAAAAGAGCGAGACTGAGACAACCGTTGTGAAGCAAAAAATGCTATGCCTTTTCAGAATTTCAGAAAAGTTCTCCTTGTTGATCTGTCTTACACGTTGTGCAATTTCTGAGAAACTGACTATATCTGCCTGTGTTTGAGTCGTGTTAATGTTCTTTCCAATTTGTTTTTGTTTTTTTTCTTTCGCATTGCAAGGACTCCATTTCCGTGCCGTTTCAAACCAACACCTTCAGGTCATTTACACAGCGAAGAAATCTGTATCTCGAGGAGCAAAGAAAAGTTGGGGTACATGTATTTAGCAATCATATCAGCTGTAGGCCAGCCCATGCCATAAAGAGTCTTCTTGTCAGCATTTTTCAGATGACTTGTCACTGTTTTGCAAGTGAAAAGAATCAACCGCTAAATATTTATCTGAAGAAGCTAACTATTTCTGTTGCATGTGAGAAAAGTACATCCCATATCATCCCTGCATTTTGCTTAAGCTTGACAGCTAAAAGGGTGGGAGGGGGGGTTATCTTAGAATACCATGTTAGATTTCTAAGGGGATTTTTGGGGAATGCTCCTTAGCATTTTGTCCACCCGTCTCTGATTTTGGGCGTCTTTTCTGGTCTCCACGCAGGTGGACGCTTACGGGAACATCCTCCTCACCACGCTGGACATGAACAACGAGGTGATGCCTTCCGACGTGGGGAGCAGCGTCAGTGACTCTCGGAATTCCGTCATGTCCTTCGACAGCTCCGGCGTCCAGTTTAGGAAGCCCATGGCGCCCCGGGACGGCTACGGCCACCACTCGCTGGACCGGAGCGCCATGCGGAGCCGCGCCAACTGTCGGCTACGGCGACGCTCCTCCAAGCTCAAGTTGAAAATCCCAAACCTGTCAGATGTTAGCACCATCGACAAGTGGTCCCGGGTCATTTTTCCCATCACCTTTGGATTTTTCAACCTAATCTACTGGTTGTACTATGTGAATTGATGTGCATCCCACTAGGAATCATGGGCCATATTTTGAGAGCACATTAAATTGGCTTTGATACAGTTCCAAAATATGTATACACATATACAAGTTGAACATATGTATATGCATATTTCCATATATTATATTTATATATACACATGTGAAATCCGAAGAACCTTTCTGCTGTACAAAGTATTACTAGGATGACTTGAATGTTTAAGAATACTTGTGCGAGAAGAAATTCAACGCTTTTTTTGTTTGTTTTTTCCTCCTGAAACAAACATGAGATCCTCCCCACCAGGGGTTTTTCAGAACTAAAGACTGCATGATATTTTTGCTAAAAAAACAAAACAAAACAAAAAGAAAAGTGGAAAAAAAAAGCAAAAGAAAGAGGGGAAGTGAAAGCTCTTGAGAGAGAAAGGATGTCTTGGAGTCCCATTGACTTTTTATTGATACTTATCGTACTCAGAAATCCTCTTCTGCAGCTTGAGAAATCAGCGGTGGCTCGCGCGTCCGGGCATCGACTCACTGAAGTCCTTGGCGCCACCCTTGGTCCCCGCCGCTGCCACACACCCCCACCCCACCCTCTGCCGTTACCCCACAGGAGGACGACATGCACAGAAACCTCTCCGTTTCTGCTATGTACAGCAACCTTGTTTGGATTATGTGTTGTTCTTTGGCTTGTTCTTTTTTTTCTTGTTTTTTTTTCTTCTTCTGTTTTTAGAGTGAATATTATGAGACATCATCTCCGGCCAAATGGTCTCCATTCGGTTGGCGTACGGATAGGATATTTGACTGTTGCATTTCCACCCAGAGTCAACTTGTATTACTTTTTCATTCTATTTTATTTATTTTTTTGGTCTTTTTCTATATTATTAGAAACACATCCTAAGAGTGGTGGGATCGTGTTGAGGTTGCCGGAGGAGAAAGAGGTGGGGATTTTCAAAAACGTTTTTCGTTCTGGGTAAAAACAAACACTGCTTATTGTAGATATGATTTCATCTTAACAAAAACTGTGATTTCAGAGAGTCAGACCATGTTCTAGGGGTTGGGCATTATGAGATAAAAGAGTAAGAGGTGTGCATTGCTGGTTCTGATTGTTTGGGGATGGAGGGAGGAAGATAATCTGTACATGTAAATCATTCAGTATTCTCACAAAGGTATGCTTGTGTGTTTTTTTTTTCTTTCTCTTTCCTCCTAATGATTAACTCACATTCTCTTTAGATGCAGAGTTCACTGACATCGGATCCTGCTTTGTGTTTGCTACGCAGGAACGGGAAGGGGAGTGGGATGGGTCGCCTTTGTTGTTAGTGTGAAATTATTCCTACGTGAAGATGTGAGATCATGTATATTCAAAAAGATCGACCAAATCCTCATTCAGAACATGGTACATCTTTGTTTGCTCAGTCTCTTTTTGGTTTTCCTGTCAGTGTGTGAAGGGAAGAATATTTTGGATTCGTATTGTTACGGGGAAAGAGGCGTACGGAGGAAGGGGTTTCGTCATTGTAGCCTTATTCAACAGCATCCCCAGAACTGCTGCTACAGGATCAGGAGGGATTTATTATGTCAGAAAAATAGCCATGAATTGAATGAAATGATGACCAAAAGGCCTGTATTCCATGTTTTCCCCTGGAATACACACACATTTCATTTCTAGTGATGATCTACCCGACCGGGAAGGGTGCTGGTTATGTTCCCCCTTTCAACATTTCCGACCTGTGCAGTTTTGGTTTTTCAGTATTCAAGATTTTCGATTCTGGAACATTGCCGATTACCTCAGAATGTCTCCTAACCGGGTGTGCATCAGTTGACTCTTTCCAGCGGGATCTTTCACACCTACTTTAGCAACTTACAATAATTGTCTGTGTTTTACTCATGGACTATTAAAAGAAAAATGTGATACAAATAACTAGCAGTGATCACAAGCTGTTAAAAATTATAACCGTAGCCAGCTTCTCAAACATCAGATCTATGAAAACCTGGCTTTTTTCCCCCCACCTATATATCATTGATACACTTCTGCATGATCAGTAAAACAAAATCTGAGCCCTTGTGAAACATTTAAACTACTTCCAATCAGAAAAATAAAACCATATTTTATTGTAGCTGCACAAATAATTGCAGCTACAAACAAAAAAAACAGATGCCAAGGTTCAAGATTAGTGGTGCAAAAGGGTTTGTTTACTGTGACAAAAACTTAGGTAAGATGGGACAAAATGGAGGTTTCAGTTGGTAATTCAAGGACAGAGTTGCTGCAGGATATTATTGTGTGCCAAATCGGACTTTACTGTGTGACATTTCTTATTAATATTTTTACGAAACACTTTTTTCACATGTCACTTATTTCAGTTGAAAAACAAAAAAAAGAAAGAAATTGCAGTGGTGAAGAATTAGATGAATTCTTCCCTGGGAGAGCAACATATGGATGGAAGAGCTGCAAACATATCAATTTGTCATCAGATAAACGCTTTCTTCTCTGGAGTGGTGGGCATCCAAGACTTCTCCAAAAAGGAAAACTGATCAGAAACCAATGTGTCTACCTAAGTAATAGTGAAGTTGGTACATGCTGTGACCACCGCTGTAAAATTACTTTTAATTTTTTTTTTTTTTTTGATGAATTTATGCAGCATTGTCATATTTTCAAGCAGCACCTTTAATTGTTGAAATTCCCACCTTTGTGTCTGCAATTAGGAAATTGAGGTCAAAATGTTCAAAAACCAGTGGCGAGATGAAAAAAAAAACAAGCAATAGATGGGTAGCACTCAAAGACTGAAGGTTAGATCCAAATGAAATTAAATGAACTTGAAAACAGACTGTTTTAGCCCAATGGAAGATTTGCGAGCACTTTACTGATTTTACACAACAATCTAAGATCCTGTGCTTCGCCGTAAACTTCACAACAAACCAGAGCCATCGTTTATTTATTCCCTCCATTCCTCTCGCCTGTTAAATCTTTGGCCCTCCCCAGCAGTAAAACTCAACCCGCTGAGGTCGCTTGGGGGCATAAAAAGCTTTACTCAGCCCCTTCCCGCATATGCAGTAGTGGTCCCCGACACCTGTAAGCTCACGTCAGTGTTGCTGCTCCCCTTTAACTCACTGCTGACCTCCCTGTGACATGTATGCTGCAATTCTTAACTTCTGCCTTGCAGAAGTCGTCTCATGGGAGACGCTCAGCTGGCGTCACGACTAGATGTGGCTCCCTTTCAGCCAGCTACTTGTTGCAATCAGATCGATGTTGCCAGAGTGTTGATCACGTCATAATTGGTACGCTTTATAAATTGTTAGATGTGGGTAGTAATTTTGACTTGAGGGTGTTTCAGATGGGTACATTTTTGTTACAGTAGTAACTATGTCAACTGTTTTTTTCATTATTATTATTTTGCGTATTTCAGTGTTAAATTGTTTAAATCAAAATATGATGGGTCTTTATGAAATGTGGCCAGAGGATTTTATGTGTTCCACTGCAAACCAGGCAGATGTTTCTGTGTATAACTGCCTGCTGCGTGGTCTCAATGAGATGAACGCGCAGTATGCGTTTTTTTTTTTTTTGTCTGTCTTTTTTTTCTAATGTAAACTGACTCAAGTATTAAACTCTTATTCAGGTTGGTGTTATTCCCAGAAATGAAAGCCTGTTCAGGTACTGTACTTTTTAGATAGTACACTAAACGCATAGGGACGGGAGAAAAAAAAGAAAAGGAAAAAAAACAACAATATTCTCACAGTAAATATATTCACTGTTCATTTCAAACACCACATGTACTACCAGCTTTCTGGACATGAAATTTGCACCTCCATCCCAAAGGCTGTGAGGACATTCTGTTCTGAAACTTTTTCTTTCTAGAGTTTTTTTTTTTCCTTTGAACACTTAAGTTCAATAAGTAGAGAAGGAGGAGGGGGGGAAAAAAAGGTGTTGAACTGATTTCAATGTGAATTTTCTTGCCTCTAGTGTATATGTGTAATTACATGTGAATTGTACTGTAAATATGATATCTTTCACTTAATAGTTCTTGATGCATGAACAAAAAAACATGGCAGTTCTTAATACCAGCTAGCCTCACTGCTAACGGCATGGACAGCTTTTCTAGCATTGGCATACTTCAGCAAACGAAACCTTGACAAAAAAGAAAAATGAAAACACAAAGGAACACATGGTGCGAACAAAATAATGGCGAAATCGTGACAAAGTTCTCTCGCGGTGATGGAGTTTCTGGCAGCTCAAAGGGAACGCTAATTCTGAAAGCGTGCGTTCAGCTAATGGGAAACTGACGTTCTGGCGGTTAAAGTTTTTTTCTTTTTTTGCATTTGTCCGTTCAATGTGACCTGAAGCCTTTCGGGAGTTTTCAGCACAGTCTACCCGCTGCACTTACCTCGGCCTTTCACAAACCACTTAGTCCACAAGTTCTCCCAGAAAATATGATCAGCTAGCTAGCTTGCTATGGCTAGAGGAGCAGGGTTGCCTTAAGAGGGCGAGTGGGATGTTTTTGTTTTTTTTTTCCTGTTCCTCACCGAGAAAGTCTCGAGTGCCCTTGAGCAAGGCACTTTACCGATTGCCCAAGTGCAAATGGTTGGAGTCTGTGCTGTATTGTAGCAAACGTCTTTAGCTATCTGAGAGCAAGGCTAGCATATCTGTTGCTGGACTGTAGCAAACACTTTAGCCAATTTAGATCACGGTTAGCAAACTGTAGCCTGGAGAAATAAATGAAGAAGTGTCCCTTTCATCTGTAACAGCACATAAGCGTCAATATGGACAGTTGGAATACGCCTTTTCACTGACCTGAAGTGCGCTAACACCGTATTGCATACGTCAAATCACCAGAACAAAGCTCAGAGGCTCCATACTGTCGGACGAATTGTCGCTGGTGGATTCATTATTTTGTCCTCACTTTGTAGGTTTTGTTTTGCATGACCTGAATTTAAAAGAAAAAAACATTTAAAAAAAAGGTTTATTTTCGTATATTTTTACTCTATACCATCCGATTCATATCCACAGCCAGGAAGTAAAAAAAAACGACGACAACAAAAAAAAAGTTTGATTCAGTGTTTACATGCTCAAATTGCACTTGTTTTACAGCCAGCTCTATAAATCTTGTGGAACAAACTGTTCATAAAGCTGAAGGACAAACATCACAGTGGAGCGCACATTATGAGATTCGTCTTCTTCTTCTTTTTTCTTTTTTTTTTTTTTAAATTTGATGAATCACTGTTGTGCAGTTCTACGAAAAAAAATATATTGTAAATCAGTTTGAGATAGATGCACCAAGTGCATGCTAGTTTTATCCAAATCAGCTTAAGCATCCCATCAAACGCCCTTCAACTACAAAGGATGTAGAGGCTGCTCTCCTGCAGCATCTTAACATATAAGCCATGTGATTGCACACTGAGTGGGTGTTCCCTGTATTTCCTCTTTGATAAGTTGCCTCTGGTTACGGCCTGCTGTCGATTACTGTATGAGGGTGACTTGCAAGACACTGTGCCGATTCCCAGTTTCCCACATGTCAGTATACTGTACCTCCCTCTTTTTAAGATCCTTCCAGAAGGACTGTCTCATATTTAACCAGTAGGTAAAAAAAAAACAAAAATAAAAAAATAAAGACAATAGAAGCTTTTTCAGCAGCTGCAATTATTTGGCAATGAGAAGAAAGAAGCCCACAAGATCAACACCTTGTTTCTTTTTCAGTAAGAATTAGTAAACCATTTGGTTACTTTCTGTGTTCATTTCTGATTTATTGTATTTGTAGCATTTGTTATGGATTGTTATTCTTACTGTTGTTGTTGTTTTATTTTCATAAGAAGGAAATGTAATTCATCCGATATACGATACGGCACCGGAAGTTTTAAAGATAAAAAAAAAATGCATTTGGTTTTACGTACTGTAATTGTTTTGTTCACATTGGGCGCTTTTTTGATTCATTTGTTTAATACGGTGTTTGATTTCATTTGGGGTAACAGTACTCATGGAATCAACATTTGTGTGGTATGAAGTTGTATTTTTTTTGTCAGTGCAATTTAATGTTATGGTGTCAATCAGCTTTTTTAGGTGTTTGAACAAAATGTGTTTTTTACAAATACAAAGTGTTCAAGTATGTGGTATAAAAAGGGTTATCATTCAAACAACCAACTTTTTACAAATAAAGGCTTATACTGTAAAGAAAGCTATGGTCGTTTCATTTGCCTTTTGTGGACTAATGTATAGCATTTTCCTTTCACTTTCCCACTTTTAACTATTAGGGTTCATATATTAGTTCCCAAAAGGTAAATTGCATAATTCTGTTACAGATGATGTCGTCACGCTGCTATTCTCTTTGGCTGTTTGTCAGAGCTTTCACCTCTTAGTTGGTGTCACGGTTTTGATAACGACTTCTGGATACGAAGCAAGTCCGAAAGACAAAAATGAGTACGACTAAAGGGTGTCTTCTTTTAATTTAATTATGAAACTTTGCTGCGACAGACTGGCATGGATGGATGGATGGATGGATGGTTGGTTGGTTGGTTGGTTGGTTGGTTGGTTGGTTGGTTGGTTGGATGGATGGATGGATGGATGGATGGATGGATGGATGGATGGATGGATGGATGGATGGATGGATGGATGGATGGATCTATTTTCTGAATAAAGAAAGTGAGTCCTGCTGATGTTTGCCCCTTTTTCAGCTTGGAAACTTTTTCATTCGGAACATTTTTTTGCTATAAAACTGTATTATTATTTATTTATTTATTTATTTTAGTGCAGAAAGGCATGCCCGGGGCAATTTTATTTATTTTACTCTTTAAACGACTTGATTATTCATCTGTTTGGTCAGGCCACTAAAACTCTTTGCCAGGACTCGTCCTCCAATGCACCGCTGTAAATGGTGGCACATTTGGACCTTTTATTTCTATCTTTCCGATGCCGATTACGTTTAGATGCTAAAGGTGACTCTAGCAACCTCTGACTCAAGCTCCTCCAACAGCAGAGCATTAATAACAAGATTCTGTGCTATATGTGACCTTTTCTAGATGAAAAACTACACTAAAAGATTTCGTTGCGCAGTTTGCCTCAGAGTAAAGAAACTAAAGAAAAAACAATAAACTAAACCCACATCTTTTCACTCATGTTCTATTTGATTATCTGCAAAAAATACAATATCAATACCCTAATAACTTTTTAGTTTAAAATGAAATCCCATTGACTTCATAAGCAAGGATAAGAACATTGTAATATATGTTTCTAAATGACATGGTAACACAAATTATCCCTGAAGCAAGGCAATTTATTAAGGGGAGGGACGACTGAAGGAGAGATAATAAAGAAGTGTGTTCTTAGGGTTATGGTTACGCTATTTAAATTTGGAGGTGGACTTAATTTGGACCCCACGGGCGTCAGCAACAGAACCAAGA